TCAAGAGATCGAGACCATCCTGGTCAACATGGTGAAACCCCGTCTCTACTAAAAATACAAAAAATTAGCTGGGCATGGTGGCGCGTGCCTGTAATCCCAGCGACTCAGGAGGCTGGGGCAGGAGAATTGCCTGAACCCGGGAGGCAGAGGTTGTGGTGAGCCGAGATAGTGCCATTGCACTCCAGCCTGGGTAACAAGAGCGAAACTCCGTCTCAAAAAAAAAAGAATGCTTGAGTGTCTTCCAGTGAAAGAATTGCCAGGACAGGGCTGCAATGATAGCAAATCAACTCCAACCATTCCATCATCTTTGCTTCAATCTAGATTCAAAGTCTTGGTCAGAAGCATCTAATATACCAAGCACAGATCACAAGCCTTGGTTGTCAGAGGATGAAGTGAGAGACATGGGGTACTGCCACTCAACAAGATTATAACACAAGAGAATTCCTTCAAATAGGAAGGGGTGTTGGAAACCAAGACAACATAACAAATTCAGTTAACAGTTGTTTTAAAAACACATTCTTTAGAGAGGTGTTAACTCATCAAGTTACTAAAGTTTAATGCCCATCCTTTAAGAATTTCAATTTCTTTAGCATTAACTGTAAATCTCAAGCTCCTCTCTGATCTATAATCTTCTCTTCAGAGCCAACTCATTAGGAATGTTCTGTGAACACAGATGAATCACTCAGACTGCCAGATCGGGCTCTTGTAAAGTAAGTGTGTGTGTGTGTGTTCATGTTTTAAGAGACCAATCATTCTTTGGTAAATTTATAACATCAAGTTCCCAATGGGCAAAGTCAAGACTCAAGTATCCAGAAAGGAATTGGTGATAAGGGCCAGCATGAGCAGCCAGCTTGAGAAATACTTTATTTTCAGAGACAGGGTCTCCTTCTGTTGCCCAGGCTGGAGTGCAGTGGCACCATAAGAGTTTACTGTAACCTTGAACTCCTGGGCTCAAGCGATCCTTCTGAGTAGCTGGGACTATAAGCACCACCATTCCCGGGTAATTTTTTTCTATTTTTAGTAGAGATGGGGTCTTACTGTATTGGCCAGGCTAGTCTTAAATTCCTGGGCTCAAGCAATCTTCTCACCTCAGCCTCCCAGTGTGTGGGGATTACAGGTGTGAGCCAGTGTGCCCAGCACTCATCTTGCCTTTATAACTTGAAGGACTGAAAGTTGAACTAGCAAAGCAAAAGGCTCTAGAATGTAATTCTGAGGTTAACTATTCTTTTTTTTTTTTTTTTTTTTTGAGACAGAGTCTCACTCCATCACCCAGTCTGGGGTGCAGTGGTGTTATCTTGGCTCATTGCAACCTCTGCCTCCCAGGTTTAAGCAATTCTCATGCCTCAACTTCCTGAGTAGCATGTGCCACCACACCCGGCTAATTTTTTCTATTTTTAGTAGAGCTGGGGTTTCCCTATGTTGGTCAGGCTGGTCTTGAACTCCAGGCCTCAAGTGATCCGCCTGCCTCAGTCTCCCAAAGTTGTGGGATTACAGGTGTGAGCTGAGGCCAATTATTCTAAGTAAGGCATTCCATTGTTTGAACTGATAAATCACAACTCAGTGGCCCACGGAGTAGTAAACACTGAAAAAGAGCTGCCACTTCCTTCTCCACAGATTGTACAAATTAAAGAGTAATGCAATTATCAGTATCATTCTGAACATCTCCTTGGAAACAGCTAAAAATAGTACATTGAGGAGAAAGCTGAACTATTTCCCAGCTGTGCCAAGATAGAATTGATGATCCCAGTACAAAGACTGGATTTTTTTTCTGCTTAATATATTCTTTCTCCAAAGGATGACGGGCATATAGTACAATATTACTGGAATCCAAGGATAGATATGACAGTGTATAGGTCTTCTTTAGCGTGCTAAGTGCCAGCAACATTCACACATACATGAGCTGGCAGTGCTGATATTCTGCAGCACTATCAGGGAAAATCTTTCCAGGTTCTGTTCTATGAACAGAAGCTTCTAATGTGGTTAGAGCCCTCACACACCTCCACAATGCCTTTTAACACATTCCAGAGAGGCCTCACAGGGAAACATCCGATCTTGAATTTTACTTCCATAAAAATGGAAACCAA